GGGGGTTAACTATAACAGCAGGTGAATTTAGATCAAGCTTCGACCTATCCTTGCAAGCCAGTGCATATGAATAATTGCTGTCATCAGTGTCAAAGATATTTTAAGTGGCGATAGTAATATGAAACTTTTTTTTTGCTTCAGAATGTATCTGTGTATGACAGTCAATGGAAACAAGCATGAAAGTAATGGTAGAATGTATTTTAACTGGGATGAACGGTCGCATGAAATAATAAGCACATCATCAGCCTTTAATCTCTCTCAAGTGTTCCTCCGTACAATCATGTTGCCTCCCCTCTGGTCCCCTCAACGGCATGACAGCCACAGAGATGTTGTATTATTGGTACTGTTGTATTCTTCTCATTACTGTATTATTATGATCTTATTCTTCTACCTGTAGTGTTGTACCCAAGTCAGCTGTTGACCTGCTTGTGTTTTCTTGTCCAGAGTTTTCCCCCACAACCAAATTTTTTGGGATTTGTAAAATATATATTATTTTAGGTAGAGAGTAGATTGATATAAAGTTTAAATTCTTCAGATTTTCTCATGAAAAATTACCATAAGGGTATTTCTAGATGGAGTGCAAGAGCAGCTTTAACACCTATTGTATGCACAGTAATATTTTTAGTATTGTACATACCTGTACAATTCTTATTTACATAGAGTTATGTTTTGCTGCATTTTTGCCTCCAGTTTGTGTCCAGATTATGTAAAATCTTTTATTATTATTATTATTATTATTATTATTATTATTATTATTATTGCATGGTCCATGATATATATTACAGTACTTGAAGATAACACCTTCAGTGCTTTGGATGGTTCTTAAAGATTTGAAAATTTTCTCTGTGATGTTAATTGTTCCTTCTGAATTTAAAATTACAAACTAACTTTAGAGTGTAAATGGAACCATTTTTACAAAATGTTCATCATGAAAATGAAATATATATATATATATATATATATATCTTGATAAAATCACACGGGAAAATGGAAACAACGGAGTACCTTAGCTTTCGTCTTTATTTAAGACATCTTCAGAGGCAACTTGAATAAAGACGAAAGCTAAGGTACTCCGTTGTTTCCATTTTCCCGTGTGATTTTATCAAGATTTATCTTATCCACGTTTTCATTGTGGATCTACATGAAATTATATATATATATATATATATATATATATATATATATATATATATATATATATATATATATATATATATATATATATATATATATATATATATATATATATATATATATATATATATATATATATATATATATATATATATATATATATATCATTTTTCATTTGTTTGTTTATAGTGTGTGTATGACTTGCATCAAAAAGACATAATTTTTGTCACCACAACCATTCCTTGTGTTATTTGTCTTATCTCCAGTGTAATTATGGGTATAATTATCATGATAGGTGCATTTATGAAAATTTAAAAAAGAATTTGTTTTTATCATGATATTAGTCAAATTTGGATAACAAAACTAGATACTGAGCAATAATATTATCACAGTACTATATAAAGGGTAATAAACCAAAATAAACAAATTCTAACTTTTTTGTATAGACTTAGAGCTAAACTGGTGAGTCATGTGCATTGTTCTCTCTATGTCATCCTACATCTTATCCATGAAATAGCAAGATAGATTTCTGCATGAATCTGACCAATTTTGATTCATTTTGGAAACCTGCCTCTCAGATTTCACTTTAGCATATTACAGGTTGGGCTTTCCTGGTCCAGAATTCCACGGTCCTGCACCACCCATGGTGTTTTCTTGCCTTATGTCATTTATTTTATGCTTCCTGTATGCATTTCATAGTGCCAATACAGTGTACCTTAAAATTGTGAAACACAACTAATTAATTATGCTATGATGGCTTATTTACAGTACAATAAGTCCTCGTATAGCGTTTCCCCCCCCCCCCAACAACGTTGTTTCGTTATAACGTTGCTATTCTTTAGATACCCACGATTCCGACAACGTCTCAACCGTTTCGTTATAACGTCGTCACGGACTACTTTGTATGGAGCATCGCCCTCTCTCATCTTGGCGCGCTACGCCAAGCGTCCCCAGTCTTTGTTAGGCTTCCACAGCGTACGTGCGTGCTTAAGTGTTTTTGCTATAAATACTGTACTGTAACCATTCAAAATGGCTTCCTAGCGCCCATCAAGTGTTAGTGATGCTAGTGTAGTGAAGAAACAACACAAGATCATTAGCCTTGCTATGAAAATGGAGGTTTTAAACCCACCACACACTTGCTCCACCTCTGCCCATCAGTGAGTACAATACAAAATGGCTTAATTTATTTATCTTTTTGGATGTATAATATGTATTTTCTATACAAATTCCATTGAATTTTTGTATATGTAATGTATTTTATGGGGCAAAGGGAGGCTGGGGAACTTAACTAGCGTATTTTATCTATTTCTTATGGGAAAAATTTATTCCATTAACGTTGTGTTTTTCAAGAACTTAGCCACAACATTAAGCGAGGACTTACTGTATAAACTTGAGTATAATTTGAGTTTTTCATGAGAAAAAAAATTATGCAAAAAGTAGGTGGTCGAACATACGTATAATATTTTTGAGGGATTAAAATTCATGCATTTCCGTAGGTCATTTGCGGCTAGTAAGCGCTTTTATCCTGGGTTTGACTACTGTACCCCTTGGTTTTTTCTTTATGTTGCTCAGGCTCTCAATTGGCTCAGCCATGTCAGTATTGTTATTATTGTCCTCTTTGCACCTGTATTTTTCTGGCCAAATTAACTGTTTCAATATCAATCTTATTCACTATAGTATACTGTATATGCTGCTTTAAATCTACAAATATCTGATACAAATGATGATTTACAGATCATTTTCTTTTTGTCCGCATTTGTTAACATCACTGATAACATTGTTGCCAAATATGACTTGCCACTGTAATTCCCATAGCCATACCACTATCAGGCCAAGCTGTGAGCTATGTTATGGTTAATTTTCAACACATAATTTTGGGTAGATATACGTGACTTAATTTTTTATTGCTCAATTCCATAGGCACACAATCCTACATAGTATGTAGAAATATGTGTGTATGTAACTGTATTACAGCATGTGCATAAAAAATTAATTATCATAAAGTCGAACACATAAAGGGAATAAACATTTCTTAATGTGTTAGATAGCACACTGAGTGGGGGAGGGGTGAGTACCGTGAGGGAGCCCAGTTCCTAGGGGATAAGCAGAGGCAACGTTGCCATGACGAGTGTTCCTGAGACTGTGTGTACATGAACATATATCATTTTTGGTACATTAATATTGACCGCCCGTGGTTCGGAAAATTCACTGGTCCGGCTCTGGTCTGATCCCGAGTGTGTTGGATTGGAGAGGTTTAACCTCTATTCTTACGTATAGTCTTATTAATAAGAATTAAAGTTCATAGATATTAAGTATGAAATAAATTAGAAAAATTAAAATGTTGGTGCTTCCTCTCATTAACCACCCATTTCCTTTATCAGATACTCTTTATAATGAAGGCTAGTTGGCTATTAAGCAACTAGAGTTGGTAATAAAAGGTTTAGAAACTACTACCAACATAACTACAGTACAGTATTGTATACACAGCAAGATGGATAACTCATTGTTAATGAATACCTGTTGCTTAAAAATACTTGGCATAATGCTAAACACTCCATTGATTTACATATAAGTCCCCAGTCATTGATAGATAGACATTTGCAATGGAATGAATCAAGTTACATTATTCTAAATTCCACCCACCCCTAAATCGAACTCGTATGGCTTGCAGGTAAGGAAGTGCAGTAGCTATAGTGCCACAAGAGCTCCATAATCACCAACTTAATGTAAACAAACCTGCCTTAGCCTGACCTAGTCCCTGGTTGACCCTAGGTCAGAATATTTAACTTAATGTAGGGAAGAAAATGTCCAATTTAAAAGAATCTGGTTTTCTGAGATCCAGATATGAAGGCCTGTACTGTACCTGTAGTAGTTGAAAATCCTGGAGGCAGGCATGAAACAAAAGAATACCATTGCTAGAATTTAGGATTTATTACTGAACATTTTCATTAATAGATTGATACCGGGGTTACAGTATAAATTTGAATTCTGAATTTTGTTTCTAATTTATACCTGACAATACAGTACTGAGAAGTTGAATTTATTCTATTTTGGTAATTTTAAGGTTGAACTATCATGATGATGTTTTTAAAAGACATTTAGTTACCAGCAGAGTATTTCACTCTTTGGCTGGAATCTAATTTAGTGTTTTGTTTTTAACACCACAAAAAGCTTTTTGTTTGTAGGGTTACCATTATGGTGCAAATCATACACATATGAAATTGTGAAAATGTAATTTGTGCCCTTATGGTTGATAAAGTATTACCTTGTACGTATAGTAACTTGATCATCTTGTTGTGGTGTGGGGGAAGATTCTGTGTCCTTTTAATAAATACATTAAGATAGTCTCATACTCTATGTGAGAAGAAATATATGTGTCTTCTGTATTGATTTTGTGATGTGTGTGTAAGCTTGTTTATGTTAATATAAATTTAAGAAAATATACCTTAGCTTTAAGCAGTGATCATGCTTTTTGCTTTCTTATTATTTTAGTGATATTCTTCATGAATTTTCTAATATGTCAACTGAGTATTGGAGATTATACATCAAAGTATGTCTCTTGTTAGTAGCTGATCCTTATATGATTCACAGAAAGTATTAACATAATGTAAGGAAACACTGAAATCTGGAATCTGAAGGCATGTATGTAAATTTCAGTAATATCTACAACCAACTGTGACAAACATATCCATCTTTGAATTTATTTTTTGTATCGGCTAAACCATCAGGACGGGATGAAATGCTTGCCAAGCTTTTCCCTGTTCCATCTTGTTGACTCCACCTCATTCCATCGTGTAAGACTTTTCCATACCATTTTCTTTTTCATGCTTCATTCTCAACTTTGGTCCCAACTACAAATGCTACAGCAAGAGAACCCACCGGATTGGGTTTGTTCTGTCATTTAATCTTGCCTTTTTATTAAATGTCTAATGTCTTGTTCATGTAGTGTACTGTATTCTGGCTCATCCTGTAGTTCTAGAATAAAATAATTAGTACCCTTTTGATAATGCCACCCATACCCCTCCCTTCTCTTTCCTTCTGTCTTGCTTTCCTATTTTATTCCAGAGGTAAATGCAACCTGAGCTCCTCCTCCCAGTGCTTTCTTTTTTGCAGATGACAAATGTTTACCTCTTGTTCTCATAAGTTGTTGAATGCTGATGACATCTTTTTCTTGTTATCAGGGACAATGCAATGGGAAATATTAAGAACAGTATTTTATATATATATATATATATATATATATATATATATATATATATATATATATATATATATATATATATATATATATATATATATATATATATATATATATATATATATATATATATATACCTGTATATATATACCGTATATATATAGTTAATATAGTTAGTTAGTTTTGGAAAAAATATTATTTTGCAGATGTAATGAGTCTTTTTTTTTATTTACTATGATAAAAGGACTTCATTGAATGGCAGTTTATTGCATCATGATATTAATATAAGCATCTGCATGTTTTTAAAATAACTAGTTTGTGGTTGACTGTCGGGTTACCACGCTTTCTGCTTGTTCAGTTTACAGCAGGCTATTAGTGCAAGCTCATTAGCTGAGCTCATTAGTTATGCTCGCTAGTCTTTTGTCAAAGTTGGTAGCTAGTTTTCTGCCATACTTAGACAGCATTGTAGATTATGGCATGGAGCTTAGAAATAGAAAAACTAATTATGATTAGAATGAAAAGGGATACCTCAAAGTACTTTGTGTCATGAATCTTCACACACAAGATCCACATGTACTGAGTATAGGTCTAGATGTTTGATACAAAGTTCTTTATTGTATTTCCTATACAGTTCATATGTAATATGACCAAATTACAGTATTCAGTTTATGATTAGAATAGTTTTGTGAGAAGAGCAAAAGACATTGTTCACCAGGATTGTGTATATATATATATATACTGTATATATATACTCTGTATATATATATATATATATATATATATATATATATATATATATATATATATATATATATATATATATATATATATATATATATATATATATACTGTATATATATATATATATATATATATATATATATACTGTATATACCACTTCATCACAATCCTGGGGTATAACCTGAATCTGTTCTATGGTTTATCATATCTTTTCCATAAAGACTACTTGTGGAGATGAAGAAATGCCTTACTTTATCGTTATTTTCTCTTTTTCTTCATTACATCAGTCATTAGATGTTAAGTTTTCTGTGATCTTACCTGTATGAGATTAAACTAAATTAACTTTGTGTTACTTTAAGAAAGCGTATGTTCAGAATGTTTACTTTTTGCAAGATTTCACTAGTAGCATGTTGATTATTTTATCCAGGTTTAATATCTCTCGTTTTTTACTAGCATAAGAAATCCTTAATGAAGATGTGGTGTATTAAACTTCTAGGTATTTACATCAGTGGTCAAGGTAATGATGTTTATCCAAGTTAATAACAGGTGATCATAAACATTAAAAAGATCATTGCCCTAGGTTGTTTTTATGGTTGGCACAGAACTTTAGACATGATATTTGTGATTGTCTTCACTTTGCTAGTTGGCTCTTATACTTGTATACAGTAGTCATTAAACTTGTGTGACAATGGTAGTACAGTGCAGTCGACTGATATACTGTATATTGTCTGTCCTACTGATGAAGGCTGAATGAGCCAATGATGCTAATGAGGTAATTTGGAGAGTTAGTGCATTTATTGGGCCAGTTACATTCTCTTGTCTCATCCACAGAAATATTAATGCCCTTCAGGGACTCTCAGTTCAACAGATAATTTTAAGACTTGTTAACTGAGGTTGTCATAACTTATTCACAGTTTATTGTTGTTTGAGTTGTACTCAAGATAAAGTAGTTGATGGATATACAGCACTGTACATGATGAAAATTTCAGAATACAGTGGACAGCACTGTAACTGGACTACAGGTATATTTTGCTGTTTAAAGATTTTCACAATTTGTAAATTTTTCCTTCTTACTCATAAATATTTAAATCTGTCTCCCAAAACTTGCAAATCAATTATTTCTAGTGCACATTATTTTTTCCACTGAGAACTACTGCAGATTCATGAGTTCTGTACCAAGATGTCAGTGTCATTGTTGTTTCAGAAGTTACTGTTAGGTTATGTTAATTTTGAAGACTGGCACATTTCCATTATCTGTCCACTTCACAACTTACTCTAATATTCAAAACAAATTTGCTTTTCAGAGATATGTACACGATCAATTGTATTTGTTCCTCACATTTTTAGAAAAATCTGAGGATATTAAATAAAGTTTAACTGTTCTCTCATCTTAGTAACCATCCTAGGTCCATCCATCAAACATTTATATGTCCATCTGTCCATTTATTCATCTACCTTACTGGTTCTTACACTATGAATTCTGGCAAACCTGAATAATTCCTTTCAGTTTCAGTATACTGTATGTACGTAGGGTATCATGCCATTTTTAGCCTGGGATTGTTCAGGGTATCATTGACCCCTTTACTTTCTATGGCTCTTGATAATTGAAAATATTCTACAGTATTTTATTTCTCAATAATCACTACCATACAAATAGAATCATTGGATTTATTTCAATTTTGTTTTTGTAAGCACAGTACTACCAGTAAAACTTTTCATGTTGTAGTCTAGGGTTGTAGGAGACTCTTTAGCCTCAATACAAATTTGGTATTTGGTAAAATCTCATATATTAGAGATTTTGAAATACTGTATTATGTTATATATTCCAAATTTTGTAATATTTGATCAAATTTCAGATTATAAGAGATATTTAGAATTATATATGATGCACATTCTTAGGGCTAGAGCCCCTATTATTTTGAATTGTGGGGTTTTTACTGTATACCCTAAACTACAAGTCACAGATTTTTAAATATTTATGCATTTAAAAATTATATTTCAATGTAAATGGTAAAAAAACTTTGCATCCCTTATATATATCATCATCACTGTGGTAAGCAAGTGATGCCTTCTCATATCAGATCAAACATCACTTTTACGAGCGTCTCTCACGATCATCCTGGGGTTCGTAAGTATGTTTCCTTCTCTGTACATTCAGTATATTGTATTTACGAAAGTCATTTTCATTTCTTACTTCTTCAAACAACTTGTTCATTCTAAAAATAAACATTTGGATAATTATTTCAAATGTCATTCACGTAAGCAAGGAACTCCAACAGGTTTTCACAATGAACGGTGCTAGCGTATAATACATTACTGTCTGAGGATCTACCTGTATTATCATCATTATTATTAAATTCAATCTCGTGTTGTGTGGGGTATATAAAACACTCACAGCAATTAAACCGAGGTTTCATAGATTGAAACACTCCTGTACATGTTTTTTTTTCATTAATGTTTACTTCCATTAGTGTTAATCTTGCCCTTAAATCTAAGTTTGTTAAGTAGGTTGTTTCTGTAATGCAAGGATTGAACTCGCTCCTCCACTCCAATTTTCAGTAATTAACCCAAGACCATTTGCTTGCATAGTGTCATTAAAGATAAGTCATGGGAATTTTATGTAATATGCTACCATTCATTCTTTAAGAGGCTGGAATTTCTTACCAACATTATACTGCATGTTATTGATACCATTGGCTCATTCACCAACTGTCAGTGTTTTTGATAGAGAATATTAAAGTTTCAACTGTCACACAAGTTTGATGGCTATACAGGTGCCATGTAGCAACCTGTGAACAATCTAATGGGTCACATTTACATCCATCTCAAGCCATAAAAATGGGACATAACAAGGTCAACCCATTCTACATCTGCATTTATAATTTTTCTTAATTATATCAAAGTAAAGGATTGACAAGTAAGTCACATTATTAATATATATTGAAGGTTTATAAAATGTTGATAAAAAATGATAAAAGTATTAAGTAAAAATGAAATTGTAAGAAATATTCACCGAGTAAGACTTGGGCATGTTTACGGTAATGTGATGACAAAATGCTAGAAAAACAGACCTTTACTTATGTGTGTTGTAGGTAAGGATTAACTAATTTGTAGATAATCTGTATATTTATTAGTCAAGCTTTAGAAATTTCAGGTAATTTAGTGATAATTTATGTATTTAATTATGTTCTATTTATTTTTTAAGTTAATTTGAAAAAATCAGATTACACTAATTGATTTGAAAAGGGTCAGAAATATTTTTTATCGTTATATTTATTAATTTATTGTTATTGCTGAATTTATTGAATTGTTTTCTATGTGTTTGATATATATTTGCCATATCCATTTAATTACATGATTTGAATTTCCATTTTAGTATCTGATAATGTCGTCTATATTATATGGAAATCAATGAAAACATTGATGTTATTTTAATTATATATCATCAATAATATTTTTCTCCATCCCTTATATTCCATTCATCTTTTTAAAAGTCTTCATTCCTTTTTTCTTGACATATGTAAATTATTGGGATACAGTACGGGTATGCTGTTCCGTTGATCAACCTCACCTCATTACACTATAAGAATAATGAAGTAGAGTAATGTGATCAAGTCAATAAGAAGTTTATTCTCAGTTCATCTCTGTCAAATGATGAATATTTATCAATAAATTAAAACAAAGTTATTCATTATGATATGTGCAAATAATATTTGTCTGTTTTATTTCATTCAAATTTTATTTTTTAGTTATAGTACTGTATACATTTTGTCACTTATGATTCTTCAATTTTCCCATTTTATTTGTAACTAAGGAAACAATTTTGGGTACCAATATGATTTTTGAGAGAGAAAGTCATCAGTCTCTGGCAGGAAGTTGTTTGTTACTCCCACTCCTAGAAAGTGCTACATAAACAATACGATGTTACGTGGTTCAATTTTTCCCATA